CGGAGGAGCTGGGTTCAGTTTCCGGTGCCCCCGTGGTGGCTCATGACCACCTGTAACTTGAGTTTCAGTGGCCCAGCACCCTCTTCTGGCCTCGCTGGGCACATGGTACACAAACACGCAGGCAAAACACCCATAGACATTAAAAAATTAAAATAAAAATTAAAAAGCTACACTCCGGGGGTGCTGCCTGGGCTTTCTGGGCCACCTTTTCAGATCACCCCCAACTTCAGCTCCAGCAAATGGCAGCTCCTCTGTTTTGGTTGTTCTGGTGTTCTTCCTTCTGACACATGGACCCACTCTCCTGGGATCCCTTGGAAAGATCTATTTTTACCTTAGGGTCGGTCAGTCCCCACTGCTGGACCATATCCTTGCTGGAGGACGCTGTACTTCTGAGCCACTGTGCTACCACAAGAGCAGTGAAACTCCTGAGTCTCCTTGAAGCCTTCAGTACTAGCCTGGCATGGGACACACCGTTAGTCCCAGCACCAGCAGAAGCAGGTGGATCTCTTGAGTTCAGACGAGCCTTGTCTACAGAGTGAGTTCCACGGCTTCACAGAGAAATCATATCTTGAAAAAAATAAAAAATTAGAAAGGAGTGGAGGAAGAAGAGAGTTCGCTAGCTACAGGCCTGGGGTCTCAGCAGGATAGCAGATGTTTCCAAACTGGTGTCCTTTATCAACTCACTCCCTCAGGATCCACCGCTGGGGGCTGGCAAAATGGCTCAGCAGATAAAGGGGATTATCCCCAAACCTAACTGTTACTGCCAGGACCTACACAGTAGGAGGAGGAAGCGACTGCTCTAAGTTATCCTCAAAGGTTCACATGCATCCCGGGCGCACACTCACCCACCAACCACACCCCACAAAAGATAAGTGACTATAAAAATATGATAAATGTCTCCTTGAAGCTGGGGCCATAGAGTGCTTGCCCAACCTCCCTGAAGCCCTGGGGTCAATGTTCAATGCCAAATAAACTAGGCATTGTGGTGCACACCTGTACTCCTGGCACTAAAGAGGTAGAGACAGCATGATCAGGAGTTCAAGTTTATCCTTGTCTGTATAGCAAGTTCAAAGCTAGCCTGGGCTACATGAGACCCTTTCTTGATAAATAAATAAACCAGTAAATCCAATTTTAAGCCATTTATATTTCTGACAAGAATAAGGTTTCAAAAGCGGCAAAAATGGGCCGGGCTCGGTGACACCCACCTGTGATCCCAGTGCTCTGGGAGGCGGAGGCAGGTGGATCTCTGGGAATTCGAGGCCAGCCTCATCTACAAAGTGAGTCCAGGACAGCCAGGGCTACACAGAGAAACTCTGTCTTGAAAATATCAACAAAAAGGTGGAAAAACATGAATAACGTTGGGGCTGGAGAGATGTCTCAGGAGAAGCATACTGGCTGCTCCCTGAGGCCTGGGGTTTGGGTCCCAGCAGCCACAGAGCAGCTTACAACTGTAACCCTTTCCAGAGGTCTGATGCTCTTCTGCAGGCCTTGAATTCATATGATACACCGGCATACTTACTGGCAAAAAACCCATAAAAATAAAAAATAAATATAAATCTTTTTTGAAAAAAAATTAAAAATAATTAAAACGTGACACATACTTATAGTTCCAGCCTTTGGAGGCTGAGGCAGGGTGATCAAGAACTCAAAGCCAGCCTGGGTTACATAGCAAGAACACATCTCAAGAGCTGGGCTTGGTGTCACACACCTTTAATGCCAGTTCTTGGGAGGCAGAGGCAGGCTGATCTGTGTGAGTTCAAGCTCAGCCTCCTCTACAGAGTGAGCTCAGGGAAAGTCAGAGCTACATAGGGAGGCCCTGTCTTGAAAAACAAATAAACAAACAAACAAACAGCAACTAACTAACTAACTAACTAACTAACTAACTAACTAACTAACTAACCTGTCTCAAGAAAAAGGGCAAAAATGGAATGGAGCATGCAAGCTCCTACCTGCAATTCCAATCAACATGTGAGAGGTGGAGACAGGAGATGAAGAATTCAAAACCATTCTCTGATACAAATAGCTTAAGGCCAGTCTTCAAAACATAAGACCTTGTCTTTAACAGAAGAGTTTCTGTGATGGCTAATTCTGGTGTCAGTTTCACCACATAAGGATTCAACAGAGCACAGACACTTCTAGAAATTAGAACCTGTGTCTGAGTGGATGAAGTGGGGAGATGAGCCCTTCATGTGGACAGACATCATCCAGTGAGTGGAGCCGGACAGGGCAAAGGCAGCAAGTCCATTGGACGCTCCAAGAGCTCAGGTGGACTGCTGCTGCCACCTTGAAATCAGTCTCCTGGGTGGCGAGATGGCTCTGCAGGTAGAAGGATTTGATGCTAAGCCTAAAGACTTGAGTTGAATCCCTGGGAAGGAGAGAACCGACTCCCAAAGTTTTGTTGTGTTCTGACCTCTACATACATGCTCTGACATGTGTGTGTGTGTCCCCAGATACACACACAATAAAATTTAAAATTAATTTTTTTTACAAAAGGTCTCTCTGGCCTTTGCCCAGGGTCCTCAGGTTCTCAGGCTTTTGGTCATGGCCTTAGAGTTATAAGACTGGCTCCCTGGCTCTAAGGTCTTCAACTTTTTCTTGAGGCACACTGCTGGTATCTCAGGACCTCCAGCATTCACACAGACGACCTATTAGCCTATTATGGGGCGTCTTGGCCACCATATTCCATGAGTTAATTCTGCTAATAAATCTCCTGTCCTGTATCTACGTGCCCTGTGTATTCTGTCTCACTGGAGGGCACTAACAGTGCAGTGTGCTGCACAGTTTGATGTCATCTTGACACAACTAAAGTCATCTGAGAGGGGGGACCTCAACTGAGAAAACGCCCTCGTAAGATCAGGCTGTGAGCAAGTCTGGAGAGCATTTTCTTAATTAGAGATTGATGGGGACGGCCCAGCCCTTTGGAGTGACGCCACCCCTGGGCTGGCTGTCCTGGGTTCTATAAGAAAGCAGACTGGAGTCAGGCATGGGGCACTCGCCTGTAATCCCAGCACTCGGGAAAACAGAGGCAGCCGATCTCTGTGAGTTCTAGGTCAACCTGGTCTACAAAGCAAGTTCAGGATAGCCAAGGCTACACAGAGAAACCCTGTCTCAAAAACAAAACAAAACAAAACAAAAGAAAACAAAACAAAACAAAAGAAAGCAGGCTGAGGGAGCCATAAGGAGCAAGCCAGTAAACAGCCCCTCTCCATGACCTTTGCATCAGCCCCTGCCTTCAGGTTCCTGCCCTGTTTGAGTTCCTGTCCTAGTTCCTGTCCTGACTTCCTTTGATGATGAAAATGATATGGGAGTGTAAGCCAAATAAACCTTTTCCTCCCAAACTTGCTTTGTTTTTGTTTTTTGTTTTTTTTTTTTTGGTTGTTTGTTTTTTTGAGACAGGGTTTCTCTGTGTAACAGAGCTCTGGCTGTCCTACACCCACTTTGCAGACCAGGCTGGCCTTGAACTCACAAGAGATCCACCTGCCTCTGCTTCCTGAGTGCAGATCAAAGGCATGCACCTCCATACTCAGCTCCAACTTGCTTTCTGGTCTTGATGTTTCATTGTAACAATAGAAACCCTAAGACCACTGGCTTATTCTTTTAATTGAAAATTTGTATTTTGGCCAGCAGCTACTCATTTTGGTAATTCTATGTTCTTCTTCCATTTAAGCCTCAGTGGCAACTTCGAGCCACTCATCATGTGCTCCCCCAATTATGGGATAAACCTGGAATTCACAGATCCAATTGGCCCTACACGGCTAGACCCTTAAATCTAAGGAAGTTTAAAATATTCAAATAAACATAAAAATTGAAGGGAGACAGGAGCATTTCTAGAAAAATGTGGAATGCCCGAATTGGCACAAAGTAACACAAACTTCAATAGACCTAAAGCTAGTAAGAAAGTTATTATCTAAGATTCTGCAAGTCAATAATCCCAGCACTTGGGAGGAGAGGCAGGAAGATCACATTCAAAGTTATCCTCAGTTATATAGAGAGCTTGAGGCCAGCCTGGGCTATAAGAGACAGTGCTTAAAGAAACAAGCCAAAACTCTCCTACAAAACACTAAGCAAAAGATAAAATCTCAGTGAAAGGTTGAAGGCCAGGCCAGAAGCCAGTGCTCAGTGGTGACTGTATACTCAGTATTCATGAGGCTTGGTGTTCCAGTCTTAGACCAACAACAACAGCCAAAAACAAAACAAAAACAAAAACAAAATGAAGGGATGAGGTTGTGAGGATGCCTCAGTTGCTATACAGGCATAAGGACCTGAGTTTGAGTCCCAGAATCCACACAGAAAAATCTGGGCACTTGGTGGATGTGGTAGCGCACGCCTTTAATCCTGGTGCTCTTGAAGCAGAGGCAGGCAGAGCTCTGTATGTGCAAGGATAGCCCGGTCCACACGGTGACTTTAAGGTCAGCGAGGGGCTACAAGTGAGACTCACCCTAAAGTAAGCAAAGCAAAACAAAATCCACAAAGCAATCAAAGCAAAACCAGACAAACAATACACAGACACAGCCAGAAAGCAAGAGTGAAACACTTATTCTCAGTTATGACCAGCTTGCTGCCGCTCTGAGGGGTACAAGGCCCAGAGGCCAGGCCCTGCCGGGGTCCAGGGAACAGAGAAATTGGATAAGATCTCGTGAGGCTCAACCAGTCTGATGACAGGCACCAACTGGCCATCCTCACAGGACCCGAGGGCCCTTTGAGACGACAAGTTCTGCCGTCCCTTTCACAACAGTTGGGAAAACATAGGCCTAGAGAAGTAGGAGCTCACACCGAGTCAGGCAGCAGGGGCAGAGAGAGGCAGGGCAAGAGGCAGTCCTGGGTCAGGTTGAACGCCATCTCTGAAAGGAAGTCAGCAGCATCACACACCCTGGCTGATCCCTACCTAGTACTTTTTGCTAGAGTCATTCAGACTGGTCACAGCCTGGTTGTCATGGAGATAGCAGAGAGGGCAGTTCCAGAGCTGGCAAGTGGGGGGTGGGAGAGGGCAAGGTACCAATATGCTAAACACTGACCAACAGTTGGGCAAGGCTAAATCGGAGAAACAAAGACACAACACAGAGCCCTTGATTTCAGGGACGGGCACGGGGCTGTTCAAACTTCTATCAAGCATCATTCCGGAGGAGCAGGTGAGGGAGGCAGGCCCAGTTGGGGAACTTCCAACTGCCTAGCTGCGTCTTAGGCCAAAGGAGGCCAGGGCTGGCTGAGGCTCTTGAGGAAACCTGAGACTGGAGCCCAGGCCCTGGTCACAGGAAGGCTAGGGACAGGTACTACAGAAGACAGATGAAATAGTTTACGAACACCGCAGGGGAGGAAAGGGGTTTGGAGAAATAAACACTTCCTTCCTTCCATTTCTGTTATACTAAGTCCAGAGCCCTGCATGACACCCAAAAGAACGTGAGCTGTTGTTGTTGGTTTGGTTTGGTTTTTCTAGGGTAGTGGTGATGGTGGAGGGGTTTGTTTGACAGGTTTCTATAAAATTTTCTGGGCTGTCTAGAATCACAATCCTCCCATCTCAGTTTCCTGAGTATCTGGGCTTACAGGTATGTGTTATCATACCCAGACATTTCCCTAAATTTAAAGAAGCCCAAACCAGGTATGCTCGTGTAGCCTGCCATCTTAACACTAGGGAGCTAGGGAGGTGGAGGCAGGAGGATCAGTAGTTCAAAGCTATCCACAGCGAGCCAGTGGTAGCACACGCCTTTGATTTCAGCACTCTGGAGAGAGAAGCAGGTAGATCTCTGAGCTTGAGGCCAGCCTGGTCTACATAGTGAGTTCCAGGATCGCCAGGGCTACAAAGAGGAACCCTGTCTTGAAAAACAAACAAACAAACAAACAAACAAACAAACACATCTATCTTCAGCTACACAGTGAGTTTGAGGCTCTCCTCAGCTACATGAGACCCTATCTTAACAAAACAACAAAAACTGACTAATAAAAACCATAACATACATATATTAATGGGGAACAATATGATAATCTCATATACATTATGACCAAATCAGATGGGAACTTCAAACACTTCCCTGGCAGCAGGATTGAGTGGTGACAAATTTGGGATCTGGAAACAGTGACATGTGTGGGTCTCAGTCCCACCACTCACCAGCCATGTGAGCAAGAGCCTTCCTGCACTGCTTGGGTGTTTCTTGGTCAAATATGTAAGTGCCTAAAGGTCTGGTGCCCAGTGTCTGCAGTTCTTTATTCACGTGTGTGTGTGTGTGTGTGTGTGTGTGTGTGTGTAAGAGAGGGGTGGCATGGGAGTGGTGTGCACGTGGAGGTCAGAGAACAACAGGTTGGTGCTCTCCTATCACGAGGGTCCCAGGGATCCAACTCAGGTTGTCAGACTTATCGGCAATTGCCTTTACCTGCTGAGTCACCTTCCCAGTCTGGGTCCTGCAGCCTTTGCTGTTTTAACAGAAGAGGTAGTGGGTGATCAGTAAGTTTTAGAGGCAGCCATGTCCCAGACAGAATGTAGAATCCTTTCCACCTCAGTTTCCTGAGGATCTGGGCTTACAAGCCCCTGGGGAGTGGTACAGGAGGCTAGTCAAAGCTGCCCTCTTCCCCTGTCACTGCCCAGAGGAGCCTTGGGAGTGGTGACAACCTCCAGAACCAGAGCTGCCAGCTGCAAAGGTCTCAGAGCGCAGGGCAGACAACAAAGAAAGAACACAAGCCCCGGAGACGGCACAAGAAAGGACGAAGCTCAGCTGAGGCAGAGGAGTAAGTGGCTGGGGGCTGACTGGGAGGGCCTGCAGAGGACCCGGAGGACCCTCGCTCTGACTCCTCCCCTCTCCTCCAGTCTCTTCAGTCCACCTTCTCGGAAGCCCTCCTTCCCTTTCCAGTGGGCCTGGGAGAGCTTCATCATTGATGGCCAAACTCTGCTTCAGCCGAGTGCATCTCTTTCCCCGGGCCAACGATGCCTGCTCTTGCCAACGGCCCCCCATCTCAAGTCCAGGCGCAAGTCAACAGCCAATCTCTCTGAAGACCTTGTTGTCGGCCACAAGATGGAAGTGCAAAGGCTGGGGAAGAAGCATCAGCTGGGGGCCTGCGGCACCATTGCCCTTCCTCTGGGCAAAGCAGAGAGCTCAGGGCTGGAGTCAGCCAGCCAGGGTAGCAACTGCCTAACAGGCAAAGGGTCATGGTCAGAGTTTGAGTATGGCTCAGAAGCAGAAGGCCAGGAGGCTGAGGAGGGGGAGAGGGATCTGAGTCTTGGGGAACTGCCCCAGCTCCCAGGGCAGAACCTGCTCTTGGAGGAGTGGGTCTCAGAGGTGATGGAAGAGGAGGAACACAGTGCCCCCAACAAGAGAAATGGCAGCTCGGGTAGTAAGCACAGCAATTCTGGAGAGAAGGCCCCAGGAGCAGGGGAGTTGGAGGGCTACAGACAGGGACGCAGCTCCAGGTATCGAAAGCCGCATAAGGGGATGGCAAGGGCCAAGGAGCTGAAGGGCCCCTGGGACCTGGATCGGCTGCACAGGCAGTTACAGGAGGAATTAGACTGTGGTGAGTGCAGCCTGGAGGCCTGAGGTGCCTACAAGCTTGGGAGACCTGTGTCCAGGTGGAAGGGTTGGGAGGGTGGTAGAGGTTGGGGCTGGGGTGGGTTGGGGCTTGTCTGGATTTTGGGTGAGATTCCCCAGTGGTCCAGGAGAGGGTGTGACCCTGACTTGATTTTCCCACGGACAGGTCCTCAAAAGCCGACCTGGAAGGTTTTGCGCGCAGCTGTCCAAGCCTCTGCCAGGAACAAGAAGAGCTCTACCTTGGGGGATGCTGAAAGTTTATTTAATGCCAGCTTCTCTAATCGTACCTTCCACAAAAGACAGGAGGCTACCAGGTGAGGAAGAAAGAGGAGGTGAGCAAGAACTGAGGGCAAGGGTAGAGAACAGGCCATTTTTATAAATGTCAGTCTCTTTCCAGCTCATTCACTCTTTTATCTATTCACTAAGCTTTCTGATCATCCACCAATCTATCTCTTGAGAACAGCCATCTGCCTACTTGTCCAACCCTAATGACATATTCTCTCTCTCTGTCTCTCTGTCTCTCTCTCAGAGACAGAGTTTTTCTGTGTAGCCTTGGTTGTCCTGGACTCGCTTTGTAGACCAGGCTGGCCTCAAACTCACAGAGATTCACCTGCCTCTGCCTCCCTGAGCACTGGGATCAAAGGCGTGAACCACCATGCCCAGCTGACCATCTTCTTGTTTAAAATTTATTTTGTGTGAGTGTGGGCATGTATGTATAGTGAGTTGGTTTTCTCCTACCACTTTGAGGCAAGGTCTCTTGTTTCTCTAGTGTGCTGTGTCCTCTAGGCTACCTGGCCTGTGAGCCAAATCTTCTGTCTCTGCCCCACCTTGTCATAGGAATGCTGGAGTATAGATACGTGTGCCTTTAGCTGGCTTTTCACATGAGTCCTAGGCTTGAACTCATGTGTGTATGGCAAGCCTCCCTCTCTACCTGCCACCACTTTCAAATTGGTTTTCTTACTGGTGTTGAGTTTACCTTCCATCCTTTATTAGTGTTTCTGCTTGTTTGCAAATGTTTTCTCTTTCTTAGGTTGTTTCTCTGTTCTTTTAGTTGTTTCCTGTGCTATGTATAGACTTCTTTTTTTTAAGATTTATTTATTATGTATACAATGTTTTGTCTGGGGGCTGGAGAGATGGCTCAGTGGTTAAGAGCACTGTCTGCTCTTCCAAAGGATCCAGGTTCAATTCCCAGCACCCACATGGCAGCTCACAACTGTCTGTAACACCAATCCCCAATTCCAAGGGATCTGACATCTTCACACTAATGCACATAAAATAAAATTAAATAAATTATTAAAAAAAAAAAAGTTCTGTCTGCATGTACAACCGCATGCCAGAAGAGGGCACCAGATCTCACTACAGATGGTTGTGAGCCACCATGTGGTTGCTAGGAATTGAACTCAGGAATTCTGGAAGAGTAGCCGGTACTCTTAACCTCTGAGCAATTTCTCCAGCCCTAGACTTTTAATTTCCTACGCATGTACCAAAAATATGCAAAAAGAAAAAAAAAAAGAAAAAAAAAAGTCACTGCCCAGACCAACCTCATGGAGTATTCCCCTTTCGTTTTCTCTGGGTACTTTTGTTGTTGTTGTTTTGAGACAGGGTCTCTCTATGCAGCCTTTACTGTCCCGGAGCTCACAGTGGAGCCCATCTGGTCTTGAATTCACAGAGACCCTCCTGCCTCTGCCTCCCACGTGCTGGGGCTAAAGGTGCATCACCAAGATGTGCTGAGAACTTGTGCAGTTTCAGGTTTTATGTTTAAATTCTCCACCCACTTGGGCTGGTGTTTGCATGCTGTATGGGAATAATGCTCTAACGCTTTTAAGACAGACAGCCAGTTTTTCCAACACGCTTGTGAGAGAACTCTCCTTTCCTCCATGCCTTTTCTTTGCATCTCTGTGAAAAATCAACGTACCATTCCTGAGCCTTGCATTCCGGCCCGTTGGTCCACTGGTCTGCACTTTTATCTCAGCATCATGTTTTGACTACTGTAGTTTAATGGTTTCTTAGGAAGTGAGGGCATATGGTATTTTTAGTTCTTTCTGGTAATACAGATTTAAAGTGCAAGTGCGGTGGTGCAGCCTGTAATCCTAGCGCTCTGCAGGTGGGGTCAGGAGCCAGAAGTTTAAGGTCATTCTCAGCTACATGGAGAGTTCGAGGCCAGCCAGGGATACATAAGAAGTCAAATGAACTAAGTATGTAGCTAGAGACGGGGATTCCTACATTGCAGATGGGGTAGCCAGGGAAAGCCTTCCTGGGAGAAATGACATGTCAACAAACACATGAGCGGCGAGAAGAAAGTGGCTGTGATATCTGGGGGAGAGCTGTTTTTGCCCACCTGTTCTTTCACATATTTATCCCTTCAACATTTTAACTCTTTCCCACACATTCATCCATCCAACTGTGCCTCAAGCTGTTAGGCACTAACCTAGCTGCTGTCAAGTAAAGTGGTTAGCACTCTGGCCCTTTCTCAGAGACAGCTGCTGGGCAAGGTAGTGTTAGTAATGCAAAGGGTCCCAGGCGGCGCGCTCAGCTCCTCGGGGCTCAAGGGGCCTAGGCTGAGTTCTAGTGCTCAGGAGGCCTGGACCAAAGATGAAGAACTGGATCTCAGCTGGGCGGTGTTAGCAAATGCCACTTTAACCCCAGTACTCGGGGGGCAGAGGAAGGTGAATCTTTGAGTTTGAGGTGTCCTGGTCTACAGGGCAAGCTCCAGGACAGCCAAAGCTACACAGAGACATCCTGTCTCAAAACAAAACAAAACAAAACAAAAGACCAAACCAAAGAAACAAAACAAAACAAGAAGTGGATCTCGCTGCTAAATAATTAAGTAGGGAAAGGCCTTAAGCTGGTTACTCCCTGAAGCCTGGCTTCCATGAGAAATGATGTTTGTTTCCAGGGCCTGGGCTCTCTGAGACACATACTTCCTCCTCCCCTCAGGACTGCATGCTCCTCTATGCCACCCTGGACTTCCTTGAAGCTCCGAATCCCCCATGGACATCTTCCTTTTCTCACCAGAAACCTGCTGCAGGCCTGGGAACTGCAGCACCTGAAGGAGAGGCAGCAGGCTGAGTTCCGCAGAGCAAGGGAGCAGCAGGTGCAGCAGCAGGTGGCTCGATGTCTGGCAGCCTACACACCCAGAGAGAACAAAGGGGCCTTGGCTGCTCAGCGCAAACTAGAGGACCTGAGGTAGGGGGCTAGCCTCCGGAGGGTCTGAGGGGCAGGGCAGGCAGGCTGTGCTCGGGGTCAGGCTGCAGGGCCCCACAGCAGGCAGGCCAGGCCACTGAGCTGCATTTTACAAATGAAGATACTGAGGCCTCTGGAAAAGGGGCTGAGTTAAGATCATTGAGTTACTAAGAGCAACCCCTTCCAATATTAGATTAAAACTTAAAGTATTCTGCACACAGTCATGATTTCAAATCTTATTATTTATTTATTTATTTTTTTTTGGTTTCTTGGTGCCAGATGTGCACCAAGAAAAATGGAGATGTCTGGGCATGGTGGCACACACCTTTAAACCCAGCACTCTGGAGAGAGAGGCAGGTGGACTCCTGTCTACATAGTGAATTACAGGCCAGCCAACCAGACCCTGTCAAAAAAATTGTTGAGGGGCTGAAGAGATGGCTCAGCGATAAAGAGCACATACCGCTCCTACAAAGGACCTGGGTTTAGTTCCCAGCACCCATATGGTACTCACAGTCACTTGTAACTCCGGTTCCAGGGAATCCAACACCCTCTTCTGGCCTCTGGGAACACACCAGGCACAAATGTGTTACACTTTCATGTAACACTATATACATATACATGTATATGTATATATATACATATATACTATATACATACATACACACATGTATATATCCACACACACATATGTGTGTGTTTCAACATATATTTAAGATGTTGAAGATTTTAGAAATAGCTAATGTGTCCTGTAAATAGTCCCAGGGAAGCCGGGTGTCATGGCATATGCTTTTAATCCCAGCACTCAGAGAGGCAGAGGCAAGTGTGAGTTTGGGTGCAGTCTAGTTTCCAAAGTGTGCCTAGGACAACCAGGGATATTACACAGAGAAACCCTGTTTCGAGAAACTGAAACCCAAATCAAAACAAAACAAAACAAAACAAAACAAAAAATCCCAGGGGCTCCACTCCCGGAGACAACAGTGTTCACGGTCAGCAGGAATAACGTGTTTCACTATCTTCCCTATTTTTACCATCCCTTTCCCCTTTTTTTAAGGTGGGATCTTTTTATACACCCTTGTTGGCCTAGAACACCCACCTAGCCAGGCTATCACAGAAATCCTTCCAAGGCAACACTGCATCCAGCTCTCTTTCTCTTTTGAGATATGGATTCATCTCGATAGCCTGGGCTGTCTTGGAACTCACTGTATAGACCAAGCTGGCCTCAAATTTATAGAGACCTCCTACGGCCCAGTTCTGGGGATTACAGGTCTGTTCTGCTAAACCCAACCTACACTGTACTCTAGGGAGCGAATCCATGAATCCAACAGCTCTTCCTAACTGTCCTGAACTAGGTAGTACCAGTACCCACCTAGGCGAACAGAGTAAGAACCGAGGCCCACAGAGCGGAGCGCTTGAATGATCTGTCAACACTTGAAGCAAGACCCGGCAGTCGCTGGGGTAGCCTGCTACACTTAATGTTTCAGGGCTCATCCTTCGGTGAGAGGACACGAGAGTCCCTGCAACGGCTCAACCTCATGACACAGACAATATGACTAAGAACAGTCATTGAAGCCATTGACTCGAGGCCAGGCAGTGGTAGTGCATTCTTTTAATTCCAGCACTTGGGAGACAGGGGCAGGCATATCTTTGTGAGTTCCAGGACAGCCAGGGCTACACAGAAAAACTGTCTTGAAAAACCAATCAACCAAACCAAAAAAAAAAAAAAGGTAGGCCACTGACTTGAACACCTATAGCGTCCTTTGTATGCCTGCCTTCCTTTCGGAGAGGCTTCTTGTGCTGGAGCATGGCACTGAGGATTTGGCAGGGCTCAGGTCGCCTACGACAAGTCAGTCTTATCTCAGCTTTTATTTATTTTTAAAATATTATTATTTGTATTTTGAGACAGGATCTCTCTAGATACTTCTGGCTGTCCTAGAATTTACTATGTAGATGGAGCTACAACTCAAACTGTCTCTGCCTCTCCAGTACTGAGATTAAAGGGGTGTGCCATCATGGCTGGCTAGCTCGAATTTTAAGGTAACTTTATAGAACAGTGTTTTTTAGGGACCTGTGTCGGGGAGATGCCTTATTTCTCCCTGCAGGGCACTGTTTGCTTGTCTGTGTCCCGAGACAGAGTTTCTCTGTGTAACCCTGGCTGTCCTGGACTCTGCTTTGTAGACCAGGCTGGCCTCAAACTCATGGAGATCCACCTGTCTCTGCCTCATGAGTGCCAGGATTAAAGGCGTGTGCCACCATACCCTGCCCATTTTGTTTGTTTTTTAAGGCAGGCTTTCTGTGTAGCCATGGCTGCCCTCAAACTCAAAGAGACCCACCTACCTCTTAAAGGTATTCTCCACTACTGCCTGGCCCACTTTTTTCTTTTTTTTAAACGATTTATTTATTTATTATTTATACAGTACTCTTCCTACATGTAGGCCTACACACAGAAGAGGGTGCCAGATCTCTTTACAGATGGTTGTGAGCCACCATGTGGTTGCTGGGAATTGAACTCAGGACCTTTGGAAGAACAGCCAGTGCTCTTAACCTCTGAGCCATCTCTCCAGCCCCCTTCTTTTCTTTTTTAAAGCATGTTTATTTAGTTTGTGTATGTAGGTTTTAAGAAAACTTGCAGGAATCAGTTCTCTCCTTTCACCAAGTGGGTCCTGTTTTAGTCCAAAAATAGCCACACAAACCACTCAGATACTAGTCTCATATGTGGATGGTTTATTGAACGCAACACCCCAAGACTGGTCATGACCAGGTTCACAGAAAGGAACTGTGAGAACTAACTCGGCTAGTTCTCACAGCAGGGTTTTTACAGGAAGAACCACATGCCAATGGGGAGGGCAGTAACACATTTTGGTCGACTGGACACGAGTTATCAGCTAACGTGTAAGCTGACTGCTCCTAAGTGAGGAAGGTGAGGCAAGGCTTAGGGTAGCCAGGTGTGTAGATAAGGGTGCAACCAGAGTGTAGCCAAGTGTGTAGATAAGAGTGTAAGTTAGGACACTGTGGAATCATAGTAAAATAGGTTAGCTTGACCCTCTGGCAGGGTTTATTAGTGTCAGCCGTGAATAGCTGTTTCTAGGAAACAGAGTTGAAAAGTTTAAAATTTTGAACTTAATTGCACCTCATACACAAAATGGAAGCTGAATACTAAGATGGCTGCAGCTATGTCAAAGAGCAGCCTTCAACGGTCCTGGAGATTGAACTCGGGTCCTCCGGCAGGGCAGCAAGCACCTTTACTCACTGAGCCATCTTGAAGTCTCTCCTCCTCAGTTTTTTCTTTTGAGATAGGTCTCATTCTGTAGCTCAGGCTGCTCTCAAATTTGTGGCAATCCATGTGCCCCAGCCTCCCAAGTGCGGGGATCACAAACACTTGCCACCATGCCCTGGTACCTCCGGCAAGTACAAGGTCCACTCTCCAGCTGATGGGTGCAGGGGAGGGCTGCTAGCATTTCCTTGCTTCAGGGTGAAGGTATAGGCAGATCTTCCCTGGCAGGGACGGATGTCAGAAAGGAACTCTTTTCCTCTTGAGAAGGCTCAGCTTTACCAACTGAGCCTCAGTGCTGCCCAGGAGGAGAGGCAAGCTGAAGGGACAGTGGTGGGGAAGTATGTCCTACTGTACTTTGGAATGATAAAAGCTGGTATCTACTGGCACCAGTTCATTGTTGGGTTTTATGCTTTGTTTTGGGCAGTCTTTCTAACAGGAATGACAGTAGCTCTCCAGCAGGAAGTTGTGCACAATGGTGCACACGTGTGACCCCAGAAAGCAGAGCAGGGTGGCTTGAGGCCTGGAATTTGAGTCCAGCCTGCGCAATATGACCAGATTGTCTCAAAAGCAAAACAAGCTTGGTATGTGCCTGTAATCCTACCATTTAGGAGGCTGAGACAGGATGATTGTGCATTTGAGGCCAGCCTGGACTATAAAGCAAATCCAGTCTCCAAAACCTGAATAAACAGGGGCCTAGGAGACGGCTTAGCCGGCAGAGAACTTGATGCATGGGGAACTGAGCTGAATCTTTAGCATGCACTTTTTTTTTAATTAAAAAAACATCAACAAAGTGAACTCAGGTACAGCCACGTGCACCCATGCTCTTGGTACTTGGGAGGCTTGCTGACCAGGCAGTCTGGGCAAATTGGTGAGCTCTGGGTTCAGTGACAGACCCTGCCTTAAAAATAAAATGGCTGGCACAGTGGCATACATGATTAGTCCCAGCTCTTGGAAAGGAATTTCGGGCTGGCCTGGTCTAGTGAAACCATCTCAAAAACAAAATTAAAACTACACAGAGAAAAGCACGTAGAACGTCATGCAAAGGCAGAGTCCCAACACCAGCCAATGGCTGCCTCCACACTTGTAACTGCTCTACTGAGTCTCTCTTGATGGTGAAGGCTCTTTTCAATGAGCTTGAGATCCTGGCATGGTTTTCCCAGTGGATGTTATTATTTTTTTCTCCAGGGAGGAAGGTTCTTACCCTGGTATCTAGCCTAGCACGGGAAGGCCATTCCATGGAGGTCCAACATACTTGCCGGAGAGCCTAGCACAGGTTTCAGGTCTTGTCTGCTTATCCCTTTCATCTTGTCTGTGGGTTCTGCCACTGCATCCTTGGCATGCCTGTCCTGTGAGGACTGAAGTCAAAAGGCAGTGTTAACACTGGGTTAGCTGAGCAGCCATGTGGTCTCAGGTAGCCCAGGTTGGCTAGAACTAGCAGAGGATAATTTCTCATCTTCCTGCTTCTGCCTGCTGAGTGCTGGATTACAGGCATGCGCCTCACATGGAGGGTAAAGCAGCTCTTGTTATAGCACAAATACGGAGGCTAAAGGACATCTCTGCAGTCTCTAGAGCTTAAACTGAGGAGGCTGTCACCCTAAGGGTAGCAGGCACCTTTACCTGCCGAGCCTCAACATCTAAACATCCTTAAGCTGATTTTGTTTTTTTTTCTGGTTTTCCGAGACAGGGCTTCTCTATGTAGCCTTGGCTGCCCTGGTGTAGACCAGGCTGGTCTGGAACTCACAGACATCTACCTGCCTCTGCCTCCTTGAGTGCTGGGATTAAAAGCGTGAACCACCAGCTCCTCAAACTAATTTTTATAAACAGGAAAAATTTCTTGAACACCGCCCATTTTTTTGTTTTTGTTTGTTTTTATTTTTGATAGTCTCACTCTGCAGTCCAGACTGGTCTATAACTTACTCTGTAGCCCAGGCTGGCTTTGAATTTAGGCAATCCTCCTGCCTCAGCTTTCCAAATGTTAGCCACCAGGAGATGTTAGCCTTAGGAGATGTTCTTTTAACTTTCAATACTCTTCATTGATTGGTTCCTCTGTTGTCTTCTAAGCTATCTACACAGAGAAGGCACAGGGTACCTTCAAATGCTTGCCCAACCCCTGCCATAGTGAAGATCACTGGACTCAGAGCTAAAGCTCCCTGGTCACATGCTCCACACAGCATCTGCAGAGCTCTAATAGGGAGAGAGTTTTAGAAAGGGAGAGGTGTGCAGGAGGTCAAAGCCAGGACGACTGGTTTTCCCTTTTGGGCATGACCATAAAGTTGGGCAAGCTCTGGATGCCTAAGCTTGGGACAGTTGCTCAGTCCTACAGTCTAGGACAGGTCCCTTGGACCTTTCTGAGCCATCAGTAAAACAGGGCAAGTAAGCCCCACTCTGATTATCCTACCCAAGAAATACAGGGCTGGAATGGGAATGAAATGGTTTTGTAAGGGTCAGGGGAAAGTTTTACATTGATAAGCTTCAAGGAGGTCCAGCAGGCTCTGGCCTAGACAGTGTCCATGTTCAGCTGCCTAGAGATCTGTCTTCCTCACAGGCGCAAAGAACGACAGCGTTTTGTGGAGTATCAGGCAGAGCTACAAGGCATCCAGCACAGGGTGCAGGCCCGGCCCTTCCTGTTCCAGCAGGCCATGCAGGTGAGAGCTAACACCTGTGCAGGACCTCCCTGCCCCCAACACACAAAGGAGCTGCAGAAACTAGTGTACAGTGAAACAAAGTTGGAGTGGGGTCCTATCTGAGGGAGGGCTGGGACCCCCTCTTAATAACCAGATCCCCACAGTGACCCTAGAAGTCTTGGTGAAGAGCATGAACCTTTCTTTTCTCCCATCAGACCAATGCCAGGCTCACAGCAAATCGGCGCTTTTCCCAGGTGCTGTCAGCGCTGGGAGTAGATGAGGAACAGCTGCTGGCTGAGGCAGGAAAAGCAGAGGGCACCCCCCGGAGACAAAGGTGAGGTGGGACAAGGTACCCACAGCAGCCTCCCAGAATCAAATAGTAGCAAAGCTAGTCTGGGACGCAGAGCAAGAATACACCGAGCAGCTGGTGCCGTTCTGTCACCCTATGGGTACTGTCCCTTACACAGAAGAATAAGTCATCTGGTATACAGCAGGGATTATAAAATTCACTTCACAGGAAAAAAAAAAAAAAAAGACAAAACCCAAAACAACTGAGAAGGCAGGAGGGGTGTCACTCCCCAGGGTTACAAAGCACAGCCAAGCACAGGAGTTAGAGCTGGACCCACAAGGTGGAAGGCTGCACTGGGCATGGGGTGGGGTGCTGTGGGGCCCACTGGCCTTCATCTGTGTCTTTAAGGAGCCACCGGTCACTTGGAGCAGAAATGGAGCCCTCTTCTCTGAGCCCCCCAAAGACAGAGGGTTCCAGCAGCCAGCCTGAAAGACAACTTTCCCCAACCCCGGACCCACAGGACGGTCCCTGAGATAAAAAATTAAACGCTTTATGGCAAGTACGTAGAAATCTCAAGTGTGAGATTTCTGAGGGGAGTTGGCTGTGGATTGCAGATAGTTGTGGCAAGTGGGTGGTCTAGATTTACCTGTTTCCCACATACCCTGGCTGCACCTCTTCCTCAGCAAACACCCTGTCTCTGCTACAGAAGAATGGGACCGGGACACCCGGAAAGGAATCAGCTGAGACTTCTTGTTTTCTCCAACATACCCGGGGACCCAGAAATCCTGGTGAACAGGATCCTGCCTCTGAGGACTCCCAGACTTGGAGCAGAGCCTTAAAGGAACATATCCCCCAAACCAATGTGCTATACAGGAAGCCCACAGAGGAGCAATGACTATCAGAAGGGAGCGTGTGGACCCTTTAAAGGCCCTCTTCTCAAAACCAAAACAAAGCAACCAAACCAAATAAGCAACCAATCAAACAGAAACCCAGGAAGATAACAGGCTGGGAAAGCACGGCATGATGGCTTTTGCCTGTAATCCCTGATGGACCACATAGTTAACCGGTCAGCCTGAAAAAGAGGAAAAACATCGAATGCACATGGATGTGCCAAATTTGCACTTGAGCCTGGAGTGGGTGTGCCTGCCTGATATCCCAATGACTTCCAGCACACGGGAGGCTGATAGAGGGATTGTAGAGCCTATCTTAGAAACAAACATACAAACAAAAAAACCTGGGTGCGGTGGTGCATGCCTGTAATCCCAGCACTCGGGGATTCTCTGTGAGTTCGATGTCGGCCTGGTCTACAAAGCGAGTCCAGGACAGCCAAGGCTACACAGAGAAACCCTGTCTTAAAACAAACAAACAAACAAACAAACACAAAAAACCAAACCAAACACCTAACTAAAAACGAAAAACAGCACTCAATCTCACGGGGTTCACAAATTCATAACAGCGTTTTTTAGCAGTCCAGGGCGAAGGTTAAAAAGGCCCAACCCACCAGTAACGTGGGACGCCCGTAGGGTTCTCAGGGAATTCTGGTTTAAGAGGTTGCAAGGCTGCGCCTTTGGAGTTGGCGTCTCACGCACGAAGAAAAACACAAGGTATTTTCCAACACCGGATGGAGCCCCAGCACCAGGGAGCCTACCAGGACAGTCATTGGAAAGGGAGCCGCCCACGGAGAGGCACAACCAGGCTATCACAGTGCAAGGGAAAGGAAGCAGAGAAGGAGCTTCCAGCTCGGGAGAGGGTGGCTTTAGCAGCTCTGACTACAGGCTCCACAGGCGCGCGTGCGCAGGGACCGTACCTAGCAGCCGGGGAAGCGCGCACTCAGTAAGTCCCTCCCACGAACCTTCGGAGGTTCCCCTCGGACAGATCCCGGAAGCAGCCGCTCTTAGTTTCCGGCAACAGGAAGGCGGCCGTCGCGCGACCCGGAAGTGTTCCCATTTTGCGTCGTCTGGGCTCGGGTGGCGGCCCGGCTCCAGGCGGACACGCTAATCATGGGGTCGTCAAAGAAGCACCGAGGAGAAAAGGAGGCGGCCGGGACGACGGCGGCGGCCGGGACCGGGGGCGCCACCGAGCAGCCGCCGCGGCATCGAGAGCATAAGAAACACAAGCACCGGAGCAGCGGCGGCGGGAGCAGCGGCGGCGAACGACGGAAGCGGAGCCGCGAGCGTGGGGGCGAGCGCGGGAGCGGGAGGCGCGGGGCCGAAGCCGAGGCGCGAGGCGGCGCGCATAGTCGCGAACGGAGCCAAGCGGAGCCCTCGGAGCGGCGCGTGAAGCGGGAGAAGCGGGATGACGGCTACGAGGCCGGTGAGGGCGGGGCCGGGGGCGGGGCCGGGTCTTGGAGTCCGCGGGACGGAGGGTGCAGGTGACCACCCAGGCTTTCTTCCCTCCGGTGTTAAAGACTTCCTCTCGCTGTTTGGCATTATCCACCGACTCCCCACGTTAAGCTTCAGGAAGACAGGGGTCTTCTGTTTCCCTCTCTTGTCTGGCACTTCACGGTAATGCGTTGGGTGAGTGAGTGCCTAGACAGGCATGAGAAACCTGTCAGTGGGCGAATCGTGTCGGGCTCTTGGTAGAGAGACATGGAGTAGTCAGATATGCTTGGGTCTGAACACCAAGGAACCTGCGCTGTAAGCTCTCTTGAGGAATTTGTGCTTTGTGATGAGGATGGTAGGGAGCCAAGGCTTTGAGTAGGGAAATGAGTTGATTTGCTTGATATTTTATGAATATCCCTGGATTGAGAGCTTGTCAGAAGTAGAACTAGAGGTGCAGAGATCAGGAGGGAGGGTTAATAGTATGCATGTTACTCCGTGTCCTGGTGTGGAGACAAGTGGACCGATTATATAGGTATTGGGGAAATACCTGGGGAGGATGGGAGGGACTAGGGATAGGAAATGACTCCTTGAGTTTTGGCGTGAGTGGCCTGGTAAATAATGTTGTCATCTGTTGAACTTGAGTTTAGAAAAGAAGCAGAATTGAGGTAGAGGAGAATGACACAGTTTGCGAGAACTTTGTAATTGATGTGTACGGGGGAAATCTACAGTTTAGGTGGGATAGAGCGCCTTTGGGCTGGTGTGTATTCCGGAAAATATACAAGTGCCTTAGAAACAGAGACAAGAATAAGAATAAATATCAGCAGCTCAGTTGTGGGCAGAGGAACATTAAGAATATCTGAATGGCAGGAAATCTACCGTTAGGTCCTAGGATCTCTGCGAAGAGGGGGTGAGCGGCAGTGTCCCCCACCACAGGACACTAAGCAAATCCAGAACTTTTATGTTTTTTTTTTTTTATTTTTAAGATTTATGTATTTCATGTATATTAGTGCTCTGTCTGCATGCACATCTATGCCAGAAGATGGCATTGGGTCCCATTATAGATGGTTGTGATCCACCATGTGGTAGCTGGGAACTGAACTCAGGACCTCTGGAAGAGCAGCCAGTGCTCTTAACTGCTTAGCCATCTCTCCAGCCCAAACCCAGAACTTTTAAACAAAGGATTATTTTGTGCATTTGAGTGTTTTATTCTCATGTACGTATGTGTACGTGTTGCATGCTTGGTGCCCGTGGAGGTGAGAAGAGGTCATTGGATCCCCTGGAATGAGTTTGACAGTGTAAGCTGGGAATCAAACCTGGGCTCTCTATAAGAACAGCAAGCGCTCTTATTCACTGAGACATCTCTCCAGCCCCCAGATCAGAACCTGTCTTGAAATAGTCTGCTAATTTGACAAGAGTCTGCCTTCCTCGGTAGGGTGTTTATTGGAGTTCTCTCCTGTTTGTGGGGTGGGTAAAAGAGTCCACATCTGGCACGGAACATACACTAGTAAGTGTTCCTTGACTTTGTACACTGCTGTGGGCAGACAGTGCTGTGTAGTTCAAGGCAGAGTTGTAGTTTTGCTCAGTAACTTCATCGAGGAGGTGGTGCTTGATTTTAGATAGAACTGTATCATCAAAGAGCAGAAAGGACAGTGTGGCCTAAAGGTAGAGTATGGAGAACTAGAGTGGCACAGTGAGGGATGAAGAAAGTTGGCTTGCTTGGGTCAGAAAGAGGTATTGGAAGATGCAGTGTTGCTGGACAAGGGCCTGGGTAGGAGCTGCTGCTGAGCTCAAGGGAAAGGAGGACACTGTTTTCTGCTGTCATTTAGCCTGGTGCTGGTGAGGGGTCTTGTCTTTGACCTTGCAGCTGAAGCCAGTAGGGTTGCTTCATGGGTCCCATGAGCCATTGTCCTTATTGTTCTAGCTGCCAGTTCCAAGACCAGCTCTGGAGATGCCTCATCACTTAGCATCGAGGAAACCAAGTGAGTACAAGCTCCCTATGCTATTCTGTTTTTCCTGAGGCAAGTTGCACCTAGAACAGCCATCTGCAGAAATTTTTTCACCCTGAACGGAGCCAGTTAGAGTTGGAAGGGCCAGATGAGTCAGTTAGCCAACTATAGGAGCTACAGCTGAGGAAACTAAGACTCAAGAGGAAAGATTGTCTTCCCCAGTTAGGCATTCCCTGATCTGGAAGCCCATATCTTCTTCATGTCCCAAGCTGCCCAGTCCAGGGCCTTTGCTTGTTACCCTTAGGACTGCTCACCTCCTGCCTCTCTGTAAATGCACTTGATACTCCATTTGTCAGGTAGACCATAATACCTCTATTTCTTGCCTTCAGTAAACTACGGGCAAAGTTGGGGCTGAAACCCTTGGAGGTCAATGCTGTCAAGAAAGGTGAGTATAGGGCTGAGGCTAAGGTGGGGGCATCTGGGTGGGAAGAAGACGGGGCTTAGCGGGCAGAGGAAGCACCGTTTAATAGCCAGAGGGCCAGGACTCATCCTGGGGATCTGATGTGCTTTCTCTGGGTGACCTGGTACCTGCAGCCTGGCTTTAGACAGGCTCGGGGATGTGCACAGTTGCTGTAGGCTGTCTGGGTGGTGTTAGTTTGTGGTTTTGTTTTTTAAAAAAACAGGCATACACACCAAAAAACAGAAAACAAAAACAAACAAAAAACCAAAACCACAGGATTTGAGAAGCTTTGGAAGCCATACAGGGAAGGGTTTCTGTCATAGCATATGGAGTGATAAAAGTGGGTTGTAAATTAGGAATAGGGAGGTGCAAGGGTTCTTTGCCCTCTCCTGGCCCCTTCTGGCCCCTGAGCTGGAAGGAGCAGGGTGAGTGGCTCCCTCCTCTCCCCACCAGCCATGGGCAAGCATAGCCTCACGTCTGGGCCCCCCTTCCAGAGGCGGGCACCAAGGAGGAGCCCGTGGCAGCTGATGTCATCAACCCCATGGCCTTGCGACAGCGTGAAGAACTACGGGAGAAGTTGGCAGCTGCCAAGGAAAAGCGCTTGCTGAACCAGAAGTTGGGGTGAGGGTTTCCTGGCCAAGTAGGGAGGCACTCTCTCTTGCTTCCTTGTCCCTGGGTAGAGCTGGGAAAACATATCTGGTTTCCTCCTAAGTGTGCTCTCTCCTCAGAAAAATAAAGACACTGGGGGAGGATGACCCCTGGCTGGATGACACCGCAGCCTGGATCGAGAGGAGCCGGCAGCTGCAGAAGGAGAAGGACCTGGCCGAGAAGCGGGTGAGGGCAGTTGGCAGTTGGGGGTCCCCTGTGGGGGTGGTCTGTGC